TGTTTTATTACATTAGTCTTGCCTATACCAGGAGACACTTAAAAATACTAAAATCAGTGTATTAAGATTTCCAGTTAAAAAAGAAAATATATGTCATAGAAGACTGAAAAAAAAGAAGTAACAGTCAGGGAGTTGTTTCAAAAATTACAGTGTTATCTAAACACAAATTAGAGTTGAAACTTTCCTATGTGAGGTCATATGCAATTACCATATTTTACCGTGTTGCACAATACGTGTTTTTTCCAGAAACTAGTACACAGAGGATGAGGTTTCGGGAATCTGAATGTCTTGTGGTTACTTCTCAGTTCTCGTCCGACCCCAAGGACCAGCACTGCTGTGGGGCTGAGCCCTAGACAGGATGGGACTCAGACTTCACCACAGAAGGCCTCGGCCTCGGCCAAGGTGGGCAGCGATGGAGTTGTTTTTTCTGTGCAAGATGTAGAGACTCCCCCAGATAATTACAAGCTGATGTATGAATTGTGTTCACAATCTCAAGATTTACAGCAGAGGTATCTTCCCTGAGCGTCACTTGATTCCTAGTAAGGACTGTAAAGGTGAGGTCCCATGTAGTTGCTCTTTTGGTAGCAGCTTCCTTGAGATATAATTGACACGAGCTACAATTCACCCATTTAAAGCATGCGGTCGGGGGCCTTTGCCCTATTCAGAGACGCGTGACCTTCCCTCAGGCAGGGGGAGCAGCTGCAGCGTGTGGAAGCCCTGTACCACGGCCGTCACCCCATCGCCCGATTCTTCCTACCTCGTCCTGAGCAACCAGCAGTCTGCTTGTCTGTTCTGGATGGTTTAGACAAGTGGAACCACGCAATATGTAGTCTTTTGTTACTGGCTTTTTAATTTAACAGAATGTTTCTAAGATTCATCTGAGCTGTAGCAAGCAGCATCAGTACTACATTCCTTTTTATTCCCAAATAATACTCTTACTGTGTCCTACGTCTTTTTTGCATTCATTCATCAGCGGACAGATATTGGGGGTATGCCTGCCACTTGGCTGTATTAAAAACACTGCTGTGAACATCTTTGTGCATGCGTGTGCGAGGTCTGTTTTTACTTCTGTTGGGTGTGTACATAGGAGTGCCCTTGCCTTGTCAGATTGGACCGACTTGTGACTTCCTGAAGGGCTGCAAATTGCTTCTCAATATAGCTGCTCCATCTTACATTCTCACCAGTAGTGTGTTCAGGGTTCTGATTTTTTATATCCTCACCAGTGTTTGTTGTTTGTCTCTTTTAACACATGGTGGTACATGAGTGACTGTCCCTCTGGGTGGTTTATACCATTGGTGATAGAAACAGATCTAATGACTTTTATTGGTCTTTCTCCTAATAAAATTAATGAAAAGCCACCGGATGGGACAGTCTTGCATGTACCACTGGAGGCTCAGGCTACCCAGCAGCAAGACATATGAATTATGGCTCTGTCGTGCACGTGTTAGACTGCAGTATGTAGGTGCCACAGGTGTGGGTCAGTGGTAGAGCTCTTGCTTAGTGTGTATAGGGCCTGGGTTCCATCCCTAGCATCACGCACACCCAAGAAAGTTGTGGCAAAATAGGTACAGTGGCACCTTGCTTCACGAACCTAATTTGTTCGACGATTCTGGAAAAGATGGCCACGTTGTGTTTGTGTGGTAAAGGTGGCTCTGGTTGTGCTCAGCACCAAATGCAGAGTTTGCAAACAGAAGAAAAATTTCGCCAAATTTTACTGTTTGTGAATGAAACTATTCACAACAGGAGTGTTTGTGAACCGTGGTACCACTGTATAACTTAAAATCTACTATTTTAACCACTTCTAAGTGCACAGCTCTGGCATTAAGTACGTTTGCATTGTTGTGGAACCATCACTGCACCCACCTCTGGAGCTTGTTCAGCATCACAAAGTGAAACTACGCACCGAGTCTGTCAGCCTCTGTCTTCAAGGATCAGCCATGCCAGGGCATGTGCTAGAATTTCACTCATTTTTAAGGCTGAGTAATGCCCCGTTTTGTTTACCTGTCTTCTGTTGATGGATACCTGGGTTGTTTCCGCCTTCCAGCTGCTGGGATTGGTGCTGTGTTGTCTGACTTTCTGGTGGGAGCCATCCTCTTCAGCATCAGAGTCTGTCTCATTTGTGGTATGATTTGCTGTCTCGCGATGGCTATGATATTGAGAATCTTACAGAACTGTTGGCCATTTGCCTGTTGCTGTTAGAGAAATGTCTGACCAAATCCTGTGGGTTTTTAATGTTGTTACTGAGTTGTAGGGGTTTTCACCTGTCCTAGAGAGATGCTTTTTTGTTGTTGTTTTGGTTTTTTTTTTTTGAGACAGGGTTTCACTGTGTAGTGCGGACTGGTCTTGAACTCATAGTGATCCTCCTGACTCAGCCTGCCAAGTGCTGGGATTATAGCTGTGCGCAACCACACCTGGCCCTCTAGAGAGATGATTTGTAAACATTTTCTCCTTTCCGTGGCTGTCTTTTCACTTTCTCCTTTCTTGTTTTGTGGAGCTGGGCGTTGAGCCCCAGCCTGTGTGTGCCAGGCAAGTGCTGCCACCCTGAGGAGCCTCCCTGCTCCTCAGCCTTGTCTTTTGTGATGGGCTCTTTTGAAGCACAAGTTTTCATGTTGATGTAGTCCAGGTTATCTTTTTGTGTGTGTTTGTACTTGTGCTTTGGGTGTGGCATCTAAGAAGCCACTGCCCACTCCAAGGCCACAAGGGCTTGTGCTTGTGGTTCCCTGCAGCAGTTTTGTAGCTTGTGCTCATACAGTAGGTCGTTGGTCCGTTTGAGTTTGTGTTAGTGTGGGCCGTGAGGTAGGGATCAGCTTTGTGTTTTACGTGTGGATCTCCAGTTTCCACAGTGCTGCTGTGGGGGGGTTGTTCCATCCCCGTTGTATTGTCTCACCTCTCTTGGGGGAAATCAGCAGGTTGTAAATGTGTGCGTTTCTTTCCTGGCTAGGTTCTGGGGGTGTATCTGTCTCTCCCTGTGATATTAGCATGCTTCCTAGACTACTATCACTCTTGTAAAGCTTTTGTAACTTTGAAATATGGTATGATTCCTCAACTTTGTTCTTTCTTAAGATTGTTTTGGCTATTCCAGGTCCTTTAGGGTGGGCAGCACTCACATCCAGGGTGGGCCCTGCCATCATCCACACCCAGAACTATGCCAGTAACCACACACCCCTGGCCCCAGTGTCACACACTCACAATCCAGCCCTGTCTGCAAAGCCCATCTGTGACGGCATGAGGCTTGGGAAGTACGTCTAGACGCAGCCATGACACTTGCCAAAGCAAAAACTGATTGTGTTTTGGTATTTGTTTTTTTTTCATATTTGTTCTTCTGGTTTGATGCATAATGTTTACTTTAAGCAAAGGAATAAGTGTTAATTTTTTTCATGATTTTGATCTCATTGTGATTATTGATCACGTAGCTTGGCTCATGTGGAGCATCCTTTATCCTAAGGCTGAGAGCGTTAGAAAACAGATCTACACAATACTCATGTTCCTGAGGATTACATCTATTTATCTTTGCTGTTGTGAATGGTATGTTAAATTGTGATAATTCATTATTTGTGCATTTGCTCAGTTTGGCTATAGGACCTTCCTACGTAGGAATTTTCTAAGTGGACCCCTTATTAATTCTGGTATTGTTTCTAATAATTCTTCAGGTGGGTAATTTTGGTTTTCTGACTAAGGTATAGCACCTGCATGTAAAGATAACTTGGCCGCCTCTTTCTTAGATGTTGCTCTTACTTTACTTTGTGGACCAGTCTCACTAACCCCGTGTCAGTGGCAGGGGCATCCCCCTTCGCTCTGCTAGGTGCTTCTTCCTGCTGCCCATGCCCACAGGCCCGATCCCCACCAGCCTGCTGCCTCCTCACTCCGTGGCTCCCAGCAGTCCGTTGTCAGAAGCCAGCACGACTTTTTAAAAGTCATTAAACTCTCCTCTCTTGGGCAGTGCTGGGCATTGTTTCAAATGCTGTGTACTTACTCTTCAAATTTTGAAATGTTTTTGCTTTTAATCTTTATTATGATGCAGAAAGCAGGCTCTAAGTTTCTTAAGGTTGTGTAGTTAATAAATGGCTATGTCAGTCTGGTTTCTGTCTTGAAAATCCATGTTCTTAAACTTACTGTTTTTCAGCACCCTTCCCTGTTCATTCTTTGTGCATGTGTATCCACTTTTGTCTATGTTGCCAGTGCCTGTCTCTGTTTCTAGGCCCTTCATTAGCTAGCTTTTCTGTTACTGTGTCCATGTCCCTTTGATTTCTTGTTCTCATTCTTTTCTTCACTATTAGTTTTCTCTTTTATTAAGGTCATTAATGCTTATTTAAATTTTAGTTTATAATGTTTAAGTCTTCTTTTTTCTCCAATGTGAAATGCTTAGGCAGAGCAGTAGGAATAAAGATTCTAGTTAAGTAGAGCGCGCGCACGCGCGCACACACACACACACACACACACACACACACACGTCTCAGAGGGTTAACTGATGGTGGCCTCTGGTTGTCCACTGTCCTTATGTGCTGACTCTGGGTTTAACCAATGTGTTGGTGTTCGACATTTTGGTAGCCGGTCAGTGCTTAAGCCCAAACATTTCTGTTTTATGATTTTAATTTCATAGTGAACGTTCACTAAGGCAGAAATAATTGGTGAGCATTTTGTGGAGGAAAGATACAAACTAGGATGGTGAGGGTAACACCCACCGGCTGGATCACAGTCTAGTGTGTCAGGCATAGGAGGTCTGTTTTCTAGTCCTCTCAGCCTTAGTGTAAGGGGTGCAGGACATGAGCCAAACAAGTTGGTTGCTTTCCCTGAGCTGTGTTTTTCCATCTGTAAAATGGGAGTAATGACATACAGCATTTAGGATCTTGGTGAGGATTGCTTGAGGCGGTGACAGTGTTTTTAATGGCAATGGCAGCAGTTGGATATGGGCGACTTTTCATCGTGGTATCCTCCTTAGCATCTTATTTGTTCTGTCTTTACAGTCACAGAAACAAAGTATAATTTCTGTTCTGTTTCAGATCACCAGTGCACACCTAAGCCAGGAAGCACTGGAGTCTCAGATGAGGACGCTCATCTACACGGAGGCAGACCTGGTCGTCACCCCTATCATCGACAACCCGAAGGTGCGGAGGTTTGGGGGCCCCAGGGGCTGCGTCTCAGACCTCACAGGAGGGTCCTATTGCCTTTTTTGAAAAAATCTTCCTTCATACTAATTCCTGGCTGCTTCCGCTCATCTCACTGTGGAACGTGTTTGGTTTGGGCTGAGTAAATTCTTGGGCACATTTCATTCTTGGGTTCATTTTTAGCATTTCATAAAGATTATCTTGCTATTTTTTATAATGGAGCTAATTCTTCTTATGAATTCAGATGTATGGCAGAGTATGTGTTATGCTGTATTTGATGGCTCATAGGTGTCTTAGTCATTTTTTTGTTGCTGAGACGTAACACTTGACAATTAATGGAGTAAGGGTTTCCTTTAGCTCGTGTTTTAGTCTGTGATTGGTGGGCTCTGAAGAGGAAACAGCATGGCAGAGGACAGCTACTCACGTCACGGCAGCCAGGAAGCAGAGAGCAGAGGGAGAAACACCCAGCAGGTCACAGCAGGGACCAGGCTCCACTCCTCACATTGTATTCTGCTGCAGCACTGTGTGATTCTGTCATCTTTCAGAAGCCCTGTTCACAAGCACAGGAGGCTCTTGGGGGACATCTAGATATTAACCTTAACATTCTGCCTTGGCTCTCAAAAGGCTCATGTGCATCTCTTTATGCAAAACGCATTTAGTCCACCTCTAAGAGTTGCCAAAGTCCTAACAGTTCCAGCATTGCTGAAAAATCCAAGTCTAAAGTCTCCTCTGAGACCTAAGGCAAACACTTAGCTGTGAGCACCTGTAAAAATCAAAAAGAAAGTTAAACGCTACCTACATACAATGGCACAGGACAAACATTCCTATTCTGAAAGGGAGAAACATGGGTGTGGAAAGAATTGACCAAAACAAGACAAACCCAGAAGGGTGAACATTAAATTTTGCAGTTCTGTGTTCAGCACAGGCAGGTTGTGAGATGTGAATTCCAAATGGCTTGGTCAGCTGTCATGGCTTCTCTGGGTGATTTTGCCCACTGCCCACTGTTTCTGTCAGCTGATGTTCGAAGTTCCTGCCTTCTCCAACTTCCTTGGGTCTGTACTGCTTTTTTGGCTTCACTCTCACAGCTTTCCACACTGCTGTCTCAGGGATACACTGCCTGGCCTCTTAAACCTTCTGAAGGCTGGGTGGAAGCCTCCCTGACCCCACAACTCTTGCATTCTGCATGCACCTAAAACCAGCACCGCACGGATGATGCCATGCTGTGTTGCAAGCTTGCATAGTAGCCAGGTTGCCTGAATCGTGGCTGCGGAGGCCTCTTGAGTTCCTGGATGACTGAGCATTGTGAAGGGAATCCTGGGACACATTTCCTAGGTGGCCATTCTTGAGCAGAGGTGCCCTGGGGCTGTCTTCTCAAAGCAAAATCTTATTTTTGTACCTTTTAGCCTGGGAAGGGTTGGGGCTTGCTGTTTCTTCATATGCCCTTAAGGTGTCTTTTCTGTTGTCCTGACCCAAAGTGCTTGACTTTTTTTTTTTTTCTTTTTTTGGTCTTCTGAGACAGTCTCACTGTGTAGCCCAGCCTGGCCTTGAACTCAGCCTCTCAATGCAGGGATTATGTGCCACCCCACCTGGATACTTAGCTTCTTTTTAATGCTAATCTTTCTGTTAGGTTTACCTCCAGTGAGAGACAGGACAAAGGTAAAGAAAGCCTTTATTCCTGGGCACGAAGGGCTGCTAAAGAGACCCACTGACCCTCTGAAGGGGGAAGCTGGCAGACAAAGAACGTATTGGGCTAGGCTGGAGTGATGGGGGTGGTTTAGGTGATGTTACAGGTACCAACTGGGAAAGGGTGGACTGGGAAAGAGTGGACACATGCGCAAAAGAAAATGGGAAGTAGTGGTCAGGCGGAGAGAGAAAAAGGGCAGAAGTCAGTCTGGGTGAGACACATTGTCTTTTTGGGCTCCACACCATGTTGGGTCACCGATGACTTGGCAGGTGCAGAAACCTATCACTTTTAAGCAACAAGACTCTTCTCTGTTCCACCTTCATAGTCCATTTCTTTCTAACAAAGTGGAGAACTCTTTACATGGTTCATTTTCTCCTGTTTCTCAGTGTGAATCTGAAAGCAGCGAGCAGTGCCTATGCCGCAGCCTGGACAGCGGGCCGCCTTGGAGTTTTCCCTGACAGATCAGTTGGTCTGCTGACCTTATTCTTGGTCCCAGCAAGATCTCAGGACATGAGCAGAGTGCAAACAAATTGCCTGCTAGTGCGTCATTCATAGGCCTTAGCATCCAGCTGCCACAGAGTCCTTGTGCCCAACTAAAATCTCATGAGCCTGCTGTTTACCATCTGCATCTCTGTTGGCATTCTGGTCTTGAACTTGGATCAGAACCTCCCATCCAGCTCAGCTTACAGCATTCTAGGGCTCTTCAAGCCAGCATCTTCAAACCTTTCCAAACTCCCGTGAAGAAGGAGTTCCACAGGCTTCTGGGTAGCATTACAGCAGTGACCCCATTCTTTAGTGCTAAGATCTGTTAGTCACTATATTGTTGGCAATACCCAACACCTACAATTTAAAGGAGAGGGTTTTTTTGGGTTATTTTGCCTCATATTTCAGTCCATGGTTGGCTGGCTTTAAAGAAGAAATAGTAGCAGAGGGACATGGTAGAGGAAAAGATGGCTAGGTGCTGGCAGTCAGGAAGCAGAGAGGGAAGGAGGCACTGGAGGAGGAGATGCTCCCTACCAGGTCACACTCTCAGTGACCAACCTCTTCCCACTAGCCCCCCACCTCCTGCCATCACACTTAGCTGCAGCACCCCTCTGATTCGCTCACCTCCTGCAAGCCCCACCCGTGTGCACGAAGCTAGAAACTATGATAATGAGGCATTTTGCATCCTGTATAGCCCAATAATATTCCGTGATGTGTGGGTACCATGTTTTCTTTATCTCTTCATCTGTTGATGGGCATCTAGGCTGTTTCCAGAGCTCAGCTGTTGTGAGTTGTGCTGCTATAAACATTAAAAAGCTTTTACACAGCAAAGGAAACAGCCAGCTGAGGGAAAAGACAACTCAGAATGGGCAAGAAATATTGCCAGCTACTCTGATAGAGGGCTAATATCTAGATGCATAGAGAAGGCAATAGAAACTACTTTCAAAAATACATGGTCCCTATTTAAATATTTTAATCTGAAGGACCACTGTGGAATTCTTTTTTGATGACAGCTGTCTTGGTTACTTTTCTCTTGTTGCTGAGACAAAATACGTGACACCCAAAATTAAGAAAGGAAAGAGTTACTTAGCTGAGTTTGTGGAGGTTTCCGTCCGTACTCAGCTTGCTCCAAGGCAGGGTGGCACATGGCAAGAGCAACAGTTCATGGTGGCAGAAAACAGCAAAAGCAGCAAGAGCAAAAAGGGAGGAGCCAGATCACAAGCCTCTTTCCCTCTCTTGCACTGTATGCAGGCTGCCCGCCCCAGGGTGGGTGCGGCACTCACTCCCATAATCTCAGCATTGAACCCAGGATCAGTCATAAACTCTAGAAGCCACCCCATGACTGCATGAGGCTTTGAGGGGACACCCAGACACAAACCATGGCAACAGTGTTCTTTTTGCAATGTTGATTCAGGGCACATTTTTGGGAACGAATGTCCACCTTAAAAGGTAAACTTACATGTTTATTTTGTTTTTGAACCACAGATAATGAAGCCACCGCCCATTAAATTTGATCCAAAAATACTGCATCTACCAGCACATTCAGGTAGGACCCTAAAGGGCTGTTCAAAGTGCACCTCTTTGTGTGCAGGTACAGATGTGGAGTTTATTTGTAAATGGAAGATTTGTGTGGGATCACGAAGTTCCTGTTTTCTCGCCCCTTGGCTGTGTCCCTGGGGCAGTGCTGTGTGAATCTCGATACCCATATCCTACCTTGGCCTTGGCCACTGAGTCCCAACGCCCTATGGTCCATGGGTGAGGAAGTTTCCTTGCGAGTGGGTGGAGGGTCTTCTCCTGCCCTCCCCTGTGGAGCTAGCTGGGTTCTGCCAGGGGTGGTGGTGGTGTGGTGCCTAGGGCTGGGGCTGCAATACAGGGCAGCTGAGCACCACCCAGGCTGGACAGTTCCTCTCATGGGGGTGGCATTTGAACAGTTCTCTGCAGCCACAGCACCTGAATGCACCCTCCTCGTCTGCACAGAAATAGTTAAAGGGTGATTGTGTGTCCCTGCAGCTGATGGAAGCCTTTCCAGGGTGAACATCAGAACCTTCTGCACATCCTGTGTTGATTTATTTAGCTGGACAGTTTATATTTTAAATTGTTAAGGTAGATTTGGGGAAAATGCTTCACTGTCGCTAGAGTAGAATCGTGGATTTAAAATAAATTCGTAATAAGATCTATTCAAATTTAAATGAACCAACTAATGGATTATGTAAGTCAACATAATTACTGATAAAAGAATACATAGAGGCCAAAGTAAGGCAAACTGTTAATAGCGTGGTCAGTGTCAAGAAGTGTTGTTTATGGAAACCTAGAAGATTATTATCAAGAAACTATATTCTTCCATCTTTTTTCCCTTGTGAGTCGTGTAGGGAGTTATTTTTACAATTTATGTTTTCCTTAAGAACGGTTTTGTTTAGCTTTGTGTTTAGGTGTAGTGTGGGGTTGTAGGACAATTCTTTAGTTGTGTGCTTTTTTTTTTATTTTTTGAGGAGAATTTTCCGTTGAGTTAGTTAAGAAGTGTCCCTGGGTCGACAGAGATGAGGATAGACAAGGACAATTAAATGTCATGCTATACTTATTTGGAGTGATTATTGACAGTGCTGGGGGTTGAACCCAGGACCTTTGCACTTAGCAACATCCCAGGCCTTCTGAAACTTTTTTGTTTTGTCTTTTTTGAGAAAGGGTTTCACCGTGTGGTTCAGGCTGCCTTTGAACTCACTCTGTAGCCCAGGCTGGCCTCAAACTTACAGTGATCCCCCTGCTTCAGCCTCTCGAAAGCTGGGATTGCAGATGTGCGACACCATGCCCAGCTAAAATTTTTTTACTTTACTTTTTTACTTTACTTGGGTCTCACTAGGTCACTGAGTTGACCAGGCTGGCTTGAAGTTGCAATCCTCCTGCCTCAGCTTCCAAGGATGCTGGGATTATAGGTGTGCATCACCACTCCTGGCTGTGGTTTTGACCGTGGTAATGTTAGCGTTTTTTTGGTCCTCCTTTGACTGCTGTGTATGCTACATTTGATTTCTCTCACGACATTTCAGCAATCCTCTCCCACATCATACACTCTCACTACTCTCCGCCCCCTGCAGCTGATAAGTTACTACTGCTGGAGGACCACGACTGGAACGAGTTTCTGCAGCAAGTGTGCTCGCAGATCGACTCCACCGAGAGGAGTGCGGGGGCCTCCCGAGCCAAGCTGAATCTGCTCTGCTATTTGTGTGTGGTGGCTGCTCACAGGGAGGTGGCCAGCAGGCTCCTCCATTCTCCCCTGGTAGGTGTGACTGCTTCCGGGGCCCTCCTGTGCTTTCCTTTCGTGTTTCTCTGGAGATAGAAATAAGGACTGAGTTATTAATTAGATTCAGTGACAATGAAAAATGATTTATCAACCACAGGTTTGTGAATATTAGCCTTGGTTTAATGCATAGGTCTAAAAGCAGTTGGGTAGAATGGAGATTGGAAATTTTTCTTTGGTGATACTTTATCTTATGTTAGTTTTTTAATTAGCATAGCATAGTTTTCCGTCTGAAACCACGAGATCCAGCTCCTCGTACTGTAGTGAGCTACCCATGTGGAGCAGGGGATCCTTGACTGTGTCCACCCGGCAGATGACCTTCAAGGTTTCTGGTGTGACATTGATGGGAGACGTCACATCTCTAAAACTCCTTATTTTCTGTTCCTCCTGGGAATGTCCTGGGATTGCCTTCATTTACTGGTAAACCCATTGGATTTGTCAGTGCTTTTGAAGTTACTTCAGCAAAGAATTACAGTGATTTGGACGTGTTTTCCACAAAGGACGCTCGTTTGGGAACTGGCTGGAAAAACATAAGTTCGTTGTGCTTTCACGGTGGTGTGAAGGTTACCTTCCCAGTAGTTGGTGTCTGTTGGAAGGCGTGGGCATTTGGGGAATGTAAAGTGGTAGAAGAAACTAAAAGTATTGTTCATTGTCACCTTCATCTACCCAGTGCACTTTGCACCTTTATAAAGCACTTCCTTGGTGCACAGTTCACGTTTTCGTTGCATACAGATCTAATTTGTTAACTTGGAATCACTTTCTATGTTGTTTCATGAGTTAAATGTACATTTTTACTTTTTATTCTAGTTCCACTTGCTAATCCAGCATTTGCGAATAGCTCCAAACTGGGATATGTAAGTAACATTTACATTTCAAAAATATTCTCTATGATTTTATGAAGTTACTACAACTTACACAGTCATCATAAGCAGAGTCCTAAATGGTTGTTACAAATTATTCTGAAGTAAAAATGACTCTGATTCATAGGCAATTTCTGGAGGCATCCTAATTATGCATTTAAAAAGAAGATTTAAAAATAGCCATTATCCTAATACCAATACAGTTCTGGGATTATCTAAGATGCTTCTAGAAAATTCATTGACTGTCACTGCTGAGTGTTTATTATGAACTAGATCCCTGTGTTTCCCTTGTCTCTCTACCTGCTTTCTTTTGGGCACCTGGGCCTTTCCTTCCCGTAGCACACAGCTTCCCTTGGGTGTGGTTTATAATCTCCTGGGATTGTAATCTGTAGACTCCGATGGAGAAAGGGTGCTTTCTGTGAAGCGCGTTACGAGATCAGGCAGTGGAAGGCACTGGGCTCCGGTTGCCGGTGAGACCTGGCTGCCGGTGAGATGTGGCCAAGTGATTGAACCTTCCTCTGGGTCTCTGCTTCCGGGGGAGTCTGTGTGGGATAAGGGAAATACTGTAGGTTTAGGTTTGAGACAGATCTGCCCCCTGCTTTTGCTTCTGAGCCTCAGTTATCTCACCTGTGAAATGGACATAAATAGTGTAATTACTAAATAGATTTTGGTAATAATTAAACTGTGGGTGAGGTAAATATATGACTCACTTTGTACAGAGTCTGGTTTGTAGGTGGTGGGTGCTTAATATATATTGGGATTAATATTTAGTAGCTGTCATACTTACCTTGTGCGACTGTTGGAAGTACACGGAGAAGTGGTGGTGAGGAGATGGAGTGAAGTGTAGCGTGGAGTATGGTAGTGATTATTCTTCATGCTGTGAAAGGAGAGGGAGATGATAGGAGTTCACAGAACGCTTTTTTGTGCATTATTCTAAGGCATCTTCTAACCCTACCCTGCCAAAGCAAAGTCTGGCGTTACAAAGTAGTAGTTCAGGTAATGGTTGGGTAGTTGATGCTCTGAGAAGGTTTGCAGTGTGCTTGTTAAAAAGAAACTGTGGAATCTTTACTGGTTAAGTGCAGTTCTGTGAAACATACTTTCCCGTGGGGGCTCATGCTGACATCAAGGTGAATGTTTTTATTCCCTTCCCAGTGATTTAAAACGGTTTCATTTTTAAAATTCAAGTTTAATTGTTGAACAGTTTGAACTTGAAGAAAATGGTAAATAGTAAGAGAGATGACAAGTCCTCCACTATGAGTTTCTTTTCCTCTTCAAAAGCTGCTGCTTTCACCTTTTCCAGTTTTGATCAGTTTCCTAAGTTCACTGTACATATAGAAATAGAATCACCTGTGACAGGTTTATGTTTCTCTTACTCTTGTATATGCTAATCATCATCTTATTAATTTGAACAAGATAATGTTTTCAAATATGCTATGATCATTTTATTTATGCTGTGCTGTGTTTGGATAGTACTGTAATATTGGGGACAGTCTTTTTGGTAAACATTACTGTGCTTAAATCTTTATGCCTGCTTTTTCTATTAGGGCAGATTCGCAGAATCAGAACAAATGGGTAGAAGACAGTTGTGCTACTTGGTTTTCTGTTATTGTAACAAGCCACTTGAGATGGTCAGTGTATAAAACAGAAAGGCTTTTTTGGGGATGCTCAATTTTGGTGATTTTAGTCGGCAACCAGGTGGTCCTGCAGCAGCACGTCATGGTGGGTGTGTGGCGGACTCAGCTGCTCCCGTCCTGGTGGCCCGGGAACAGAGAGAAGAGGAGGGGCCGGGGCCCCAGTGTCCCCTTCCAGGGCACAGGTGCTCCCAGCACCTGCCGACCTCCCTCTGGGTCCCACCACTTAGAGCTTCTGCCGCATCGCCAGCACCAGGCTGGGGAAAGCCTGTGACACGTGGGCCTCTGAGGACATTTCAGAGACCCAAGTTACAGCAGCAGTAAATGCTGTGTGACTTCTGATACAGTGCTAAAATGTCCTTTGAAACATTGTATTAACATACATTCCAGTGTGCTCTGATAGGGTGGCTGCTGACTACAGGGGCTATTTAAACTAAATGAGATTAAATGCTTAGTTCCTGACTTGCCCCAGTCCTGTTTTCTGCTCCTACAATTTGTTTCTGGTGGATGCTGTACTGGGCAGTGTCACTAGGGGCGCTTTTTTCACCGGTGGAGTTTTGCCCAGCAGTGCTGCTTGGGTGCTGTTGCCCAGAGAGGAGGGGAATGATTCTGGGGTGCAGTCTGCTGGGTCTTGAGGGAACCTGGGCTCTGAGGAGGAGCCAGTTTGGTGAGACTGTTGCCCAGGAGGTAGAGCTGGAGGCAGCTTTCTGTTACAGGCTGAGGACTGCTGTCATAGTTCCTTTAAATAGTTTATAACCTAAAAGCATAAGGTTTTTAAAGTACTTTTTCTCGTGTTCTGTTAGAAATTATTTTGGGTGTGATTGCAGCAATGTTTAGTTGATATGTTTCAGTACATGTTTATAGCGGTTGAATACATCTCATAGACATTATTTCATTTTGTAGATTGAAGAAGGATCCAGTGTCTCCCGAGGGTTGTGAGCTTCATTTTGGGAAGGGAAAAGCTCTGTGTTTGTATCTTTACTTCTCTAGCGAGTCCGGGTCACAGTATCCATGAGGAGACCTGGGACAGACCTGCCGCCCCCTGCCTGGCACATGTAGGGGCTGAGGAACATGTGACCCGACCGTGGCCACAAGGCTGGGTGGTGGCCATGTCCTCAGCTCTCCATCACTGTGACAGATGTCTCGGATTGAGGCGTCAGAGAGCTGCACTCCTGGTGTCTGAGGCCTGCCGCTTTGGGTCTGGCAGGAGTCGGTGGAGGAGGCATGGTCGCCTCATGGGCCAGGAAACAGAGTGGGGTGGCACCTGGTGACCTGACTCCTTCTGCCAACATCACAGCAGGAGTGTGGGCAGAAGGCTGCTCACTGCCAGGTGCCCAGGATCCTGCCCTGGGAGTGCCATGGCGGGGCCCAGCCTTTCGTTGATGCACACACACCTGGGGGACGCTGCGGACCCAAGCCAGGCAATGCCAAGTGGCGACTAGAAGGTCTTTAAAATGTTCTTGGTCCAATTACCCTTCCAAACCCTTTCCAGAATAATCACTTTTAGCACATTCCCGATGGGGCTGTAATTCATGTGTCTCACTGCTGGGCGACTGGAACCACCAGTGGTTCCCGCAGGACCGTCCCATGCACTGCTGTGCCGCTTCTGCCCCCAGCTGACAGGACAGTCACGCAGGCACCCGGCGGTCCAGGCCGGCGGGAGCGCGTTGTGTGGTGTTTTTATTCAGAAGTGGGGCCCAACCCTAAAATAGCTGGGACTTCTCGGGTCTGCATGTGTTGGGGAGCGGAGTGGGAGGCACAGGTGTGAAGTCCGCGGGAGCCCTCCGTGCCGTGAGGCGGACAGCACGTTTCCCGAGCTGCTCGTCGAGGCGGACTTGTTTCCTGCCACGCGTGCTCAGAGGTGCGGTGCAGGCAGTTGAAAAACCGCACACGCCGATCAGTCAGCCTGGAGGACACGCACTCCCAGCTGAGCAGTGTTGTGGTTCCCACTGGCCCATCGTTTCTTCATTGAGAGAACTCATTGAAATTAATTTTCTGCATTAAATACTTGCTCAAATCACACTGAAGATTTGTTAATGTATCAATTTCCTTTTTTGCTGGATACCAGAGGGAACATTTTATAAAAGTAGTGTTTATTTAAAAAGCAACATGTGTAAGATGTTTCACTGTAAACCGTTCTATTCTACGGTGCATATATTCCCTGCGTGTTTAACTGTCTGGTGTTAGTTACTTACTGTGCACATAGAAGCTCATTGTCTTGCTAGCAGATACCCCAGAGACCTCAGGTAGATGCCTCTGTCCTCGGAGACGGAAGGGTTAATTACCATTGCTCTGTTCTCTCTGGTGAAGGCCTTGTCACAGTTTTATTTTCCATTTTACTACTGAACAGCAGCTGAAGTTTTGTCAGTGTCACAGGTTGCACCACAGGAGCTTGCTGTTGGTTTTTTCCTCTGAGCGGGAGCTTGAGCCCCTGACCTCGCACTCAGGCGCGCTCACCGGCCGGTCCCCTTCACGGCTTGCATCTCCTGTGCATGTGCGTACTGCTGTGAGCTGAGGCTCCTTGGTCCTGATCCCCTTCTCAGAGCCTGTGTCCTCTCCCCTTACAGACGGGCCAAGGTGGCGCGGGTGATTGGTCTGCTGGCCTCGCACACGAGTGAGCTCCAGGAAAACACACCGGTTACTGAGGTAATTTCTTTCATCACTGCCATGGTATGAATGCTACAGAGACTGTTTTTGATTTTATAATTCAGAACATACAGCTTTCACCACCTTCGTGTGATTTCTCTTTGTGGCCCTGTGGTCCTGGCAGACTGGTGACCCTGACCAGCTGAGGCTTCCCTGGCGTGGCTCAGCCACGTGCCAGGCTGCTGTGACCACACGTCCCACCCTGAGTTAGTGTGCCGTCCTCCCCACTGTCAGTCGTTCTTGACACCTGATCACGGTATTTGACGGTCACGTGTGCACCAAAGATGGGTTCTAGTATCGGTCACAGGTAATCACAGGTCCTGTGAAGTGAGTGCTGCTGTCTGCAGCCTGCATGAGTGTCCTTGGATATGAATGCCGCTTCTTGTCGATGTTGGTTGTGCTTAACTGGTAATGGGTATTGGTCCCTTGGGCGGGAAAGGGATACCAAGGCTTTTGTGGGTAGGGCGGCCATTGCCAAAGGGAGAGGGGATTTCGGGGAGCTGGAGCTGAGTGTGGTGTTTGGGGCTTGGGGAGCTTGTTTGGCCCGGAACTTTCCAGCTTGATTTTTTGTGGGGATGGCATTGAGGGTGTGAGGCCGTCTGGGAGGAGGGCGTGACAGGCACGGTGACAGCAGCGGTGAAGGACTAGAGGTGGAGGAGCAGATGGATGGCCCTGCACAGCTAGGAGGGAGCCAGGGAGACGGAGGAGCAAGGCAGCCGGGGGCTGAATCGCATGGCTGGGTAGTGCGTGGTGAGGACCGGGGACTTGACTCAGGACGAGGTTGGCGCCCTGGAGGGTCGCGGGCAGAGGACCCTCACCGTGGCTTCTGTTTGAGAAGGGTCTCACTGTCTGTTAGAGATGGGTAAGGTGGCTCTGGGGACCGTGGGGATCTGAACTGGGCCATTGTCACCCTCACACACACATACACACTTATATACATGTAAAACGCACCCACATACATATGAACACGCATGTACATGCACACATGCACATACGTACATGCATTCATACACACACAGGCACACACACACACTGCTTATTTCCTAGTGTGTTTTGAAGAGTGCTGACAGATTTGCTAATTGCTATCTGTGATATTGGAAAGCAGACTTTCATTCCCAAGAAGCCTGGCCAGAGTGAATTTAATGTTCAGTCATAGAAATGCTAAGTCACCATAGAAATGCGAATTAGAACCCAGCTGTAGCAACAGCCTGGCAGGGCCCCGTGCCAGTGAAGGCACTGACTGGAAGGACGTGTCTGCTGCCTGTGGGGCATGCAGCGCAGCCGTCCTGCAGAGCTGCGTGGAGGTCTGCAGGCTCTGCCCAGCGCCGCGTGCCCCGTGACTGGTGTGCCCAGAGCTGGGCACAGAGCAGCGCAGCCCTAAGCAGCACCGGGACGCTGCGCGGTAGTGTGGGGCGGGGGCCTTGTGTGCACACACCTGTTTGCGTCTTGGGGACATTTCCCGGGAGGACCCATGTGTTCAGAAATATCTGGGGGTTAGGGTGCCCCTGCTTGGGGGCAGCTCCCCTTTGGTGTGTGCAGGTGGATGGCTGAGAGCCTGGAGACGAGAGGCCCCTTGTGGCACAGCCTGGGGAAGACAGCCAGACGGAGGAGCTGCCCTCTCGGCCTGCGCAGGGCCTGCTATGTCAGGGAGTCACAGGTGTGTGGCCCCAGGACTGGCACCCTGCCCCACAGCGCGATGCCCTGGTGCTGTGAGCACCACCGGGGAGGCTGGCTGCAGTCTGGCCTGCAGCGTGGCTGTGCTCTCGGCCCCCTGCCTCTGGAGACGGGGCACGTGGTGTGCTCATTGTGCCCCTCCTCTGTCTGCAGAGAGAGGTGGTGGGCACCCGCTTCCCTTCCTCCGCGGGGATCTGCTGATGCTTGTGAATTGGAAGTGGAGACACCTGGGGGAAATCACTCCTACTCCATTAAAAAGCGCGAGGGTAATTTAGCCGTCTGGTGAACGGTTTTGAATGGAGCACACTCCTCAGTGAGCTCAACTCTGGGTCCTGGGAGTTTGCAGAAGTTGAAGGTGGACCAGGTGCCCCTTAGTGATGCCATTTTTTTTTGTTGTTGTTTTCTTTTGTTTCATTTCTGTGCTGGGATGGGACCCCGGCGGCGCTTACCTCAGCAGTGCTCAGCCTTTGGACATCCTCTTCGCAGTGCACTAGGTTGTTGTTTTGAGCAGTTGGCCGCGATGGTTTAAACAACCACTAGAGGTCACTGAAGAACTGGGAAAAGCCGTCCGAATTTGACCATTTATCCTTCAACTTCTGTATTTCCTGGGAGGCTTGGCAGTGATATGGTGCTGTTTCTTTTTCTTATTTCTAGAGGTTTCTGCTAACACATTGGCTTTAGCTGTTGGTGATTGTCACCGTTTGAGGTTAATGAGGTTGGTGAAAGCCAGGACTCTTGTCTGTAGGAACAGACTCAGCATCTTGTGTGTGACTACAGGGGACATGGGAAGCCCATGAAGCCACCAGCCACTCTGAGGTCCTGAGCTCCTGAGGCCAGGTTTGTGTAAAGTTTGAAGCTGGGTGTTTGTTGCTGATTTATCCATAAATTATTAGCAGAATTTCAGGTGTGAGATGAGTCTTGATTTCTCTTGTAGTTTCACTCCCAGCAGATAATAAAATTGGTGGTTGCACAGCCCATATGTGTGGAAAGGACATTAAAGGTACTGGACCTCACTTTTCGTGCCCACTAGTCCGAGCCAGCAGGTGAGGGGCGTTTGGAACACTCAGTGCTGCAGGCTGAGGACGGGTGAAAGTGCTAAGAGCATGTGGTATCATTTGTTACAGGGACAAGCAAGGAGGAAAGAATCTGTTTTGCTATCCTTACAGCGTGATTTAAGTTTCTTTGTCTCTTCTTGGTCATAGAAAAGAGCTGGTCCTGATTGCTTATGCATTTAGTAGCATCTTTTATTTCTTTGTTAATTGTCTTTTATTAGTGTATGTTTGTAGCATTTGCCTTGGGTAACAGGTGCATATACGTATCACCGTGATCATTGTCACTCCCTCTTCTCCCACTGCCCTCTTTAATTTTCCCCAGCACTAGAGATTGAACCCAGGGCCTTTGCACTGGGCTGCATGCCCAGACCTGTACATTTTGTTTTTCTCAATTTTAAGGCAGAGTCTTGTTAACTAAGTTGCTCAGACAGGGCTCAGACCTGCTGTCATCCTGCTTTAGCCTGCTGAAGTGGTGTGATGAAGGCGTGGGCCACCATGCGGCCTCATCAGTGGAGTAGTCCATCGAGGAGGCCCTTGCTGAGTGTGCTTTTAGCAGGAGGGGGAGGAGGTGGTCACTGAGATATGACCCAGAACAGTGTGTTCCTGCCCCAGCCTCTCCTCCACCCTCTTTCTGCTGCCTTGCTGCCACGGGGTGAGTGGCTGTCCTTTGTCACACCCTTCCACCATGTTTTCCTGCCTTGGGGCCAGGTGGGCATGGACTGAAATGAATAAAATTAAGGCTTTTTGCCACAAGATGATGTTGCAGAGGCCAGGAGCATGGACAGTGACACAGAGTCAGAGGGGCGTGGAGTAGTCACACTGTGAAGGGGCAGGGGAGACGGTTCTGTGTGCAGGAGGAGGACAGGTGTGGTTTTTAAAGGCTGCAAGAAGGGAGTGATTGCTTTGGGTCTGTCAGGAGAAGCAAGGACCCTTTTTAAGGGTTTCTTGAGCTTGAAATAGCTGTAGATAAGCTTGTAGGTATGGAAAAGGAATGTTAGGGGGAGGATAAGGTGCATGTTGTCCTTACAGGCCTTACAGTGACGGTCAAGGCATAGGAAAGGAATGTTAAAGGTTGGTTTGGCTGTAGGTTTCTGAAATGGTTCGTTTTTGAGCAAAGTACCTGACTGTGATGTACAGCTGAATGGAGCAACTGAGTGGAGGCCAAAGTTGCTTCTCTTTGGTTGTTCAGTGCCTCATACTCTTCTTGCTTTAAGTTGTGGGTGTTAGGTATTTTGTCTTAGTGATGGAAAGATGACTAATACAGAAAATTGGTACCAGGAGTGGGGTTGTTGCAGTGACTGTACCTGACCGTGTGAGGAGTTGGTTAGTGCATGCTAGAGCTCTAGAATGTTGTAAGCAGAGTTTGGCAATTTTGGTCAGGACTCAGAAGGCCAAAATGCATGGTAAGGATATGGGTAATAAAGGCCAGACTCAGGAGGTTTAGCTGGGAACAGGGACTCTGGTGGGAAATGGGCCAGAGCCCATATGTGTTACATTGTGGCAAGTAACTTTTCTTCTCTTTATCCATGTTCTAAGACTTTGTATGAGGCTAAATTTAGAGATGGGAGACTAGTTCATCTGATGGAGGAAATTTCAAGGTGGCCCAACGCTCAGGCTGTGGCAAGGACACTGCTGGCTGCTTTCAGCCAGATTTACGATAAGAAGCAGGAACAAAAAACCAGCTAAAATACATAAAAATTTTGCAGCTTAGCTTCAGAGTGCCTCTAAAGTTGAAGCAAGGAGAATATGTTGCTAAAAAGAGTATCTTTAAAAAGACACCAAATACTTTATATTTATTGGAACAAAAAACCCCAAAAACTCTTGAGGGAATCTCAGGAGTGGGCCAGATCCCATCTGTCACATGCTCAGTTTATAAAAGGGTAAACTCCCTTAAAAGACTTTGCTTTGACAAAGGAGCCCCAAGGCCCTGTGCTCACTCAGGGCTACTGAGGGAAGAGTATCCCTGAGTTTAACCATCCAGGCCCTTGGAGGCCACTACAGTCGTGGATGAAGGAGGCCAGGGTACTGCTCGAGCTGGCAGCAGGCATCAGAGTCGTGCACACAGTGCTTTTACCAGTACATGGAGTGCAAGAGTTGTGGGGTCATTGAGGTGTCTAACCTAGATGTCAAAGGAAAGCATGGGAGGCCTAGCACTGTCCTTGGTGTTCGAAGCTCTGGGAGTGCAAGGTGAGTGTGCTTGTGCAGTGGAGACCCAAGGGAACTGGAGATACCAGAAAGGTGCAGGCAGTGAGCAGAGCCAGCCTGAGAGAGAGG